TATTTCTAAAATTGTCAAGTTGAGCTTGTTGAAATTGTTGCCATGCATGATTAGCTTCATCAAGTTCAGCACATTTATTAGTTAGAGTAGAGAGTTCTGCACGTAATTGATTAATTTCTTCGTCTTGTTCTCGATTTATGTTATCAACAGGAATATTCTTTAAGCATAAAAAAATAATAGTAATAAATATTTAAACTTATTTCGAATTACGAACTTCTTTCGATAAATCAATCTGTTGATCTAAATGTTGTTCAGAATTCTTGATGATTAATTGAAATTCTACTAATTGTTTTTCTTGTTCTTCTAATTGTTTATCAACTTGTTGTTTTGACAAAATTAATTGTGCATTATGTTCACGAAATTCTTCACATTGTTTATAAACATCAAGTAATTTTTGATTAAGTTGTTCAAGATTTTCTGCAAGTATTGATTCATTATTTTGATATTTTGCTAATTGTTTTTGTAATGAAAGAATTGTTGTTGTTGAATCTAAAGAATAATTTTCAAAATATTAATTACGAAAAGTTTAATTATTTCGAATAAACTTATTACAATTTTATTCTTGCAAAATTCTCATTTATCAACATTAGATAATCACATAAACATTAAATAGTAATGCTAAGTTTTGTAGTTAGAAAAAAAAAAAAAACTTTGATTTAACATTTTATTCATCTTATTAAACTTTATTTTATGAGAAAACCTTTTCAGGTAATAAAAACCTTGAGAAAATATGAGCACAACTGCGAATTCAGCTGAGAAATTAGCTCATAAATCTGATGAGCAATTAGTGAAATTCAAAGAAGCAATTAAAGTACTTTGAAAAATATATAAAATTTTAATTATAATGAGTGTGTTAGATTTCCTTACTCAAGATCTATGACTCTAAATAAACTCGAAGTTTTTATTTTATATCATTCAAAAGATATACACTCAACACTGATTATCAAAAATGTTTGAAATAATTTTTCATAAAATTTTTTCAAGGTTGAATAATTCAATGTCTATTAATGAATAGTTAGGATTTCGACTATTTTGAATACAATGAAAATGTTTATATTGTAAAGAAATCGTTCTTTGTTATGTAAAAGCAATGTTAATTACATTACACCACCAATCGAGTATCTTTGTTGTAAACCATAATGACACAACATACTCCTACATGTTGAATATAATTTTGGTATGTTTAATTCGACATACTGTTATTTTTTTAGTTCAATAGTTGACAATATAAAACAGTAAAACAGAAGTAGATTTTATTTATCAAGCAGTTATTTCTTTGGCCTTGGAATCTACCCTAATGCAACATCTTGGTCAAGATATAGAAAAGTGAGTAGATCTTAGGTACAGATTTATAAGATTTGGACTCAAATATCCATGATTTAAAATGATCACCAAAATTCATTTATGGATGCCTTGAAATACTTCTGAAATAGCCTATCTGATATAAATTTTGGTGCTGAGACTGAATTTGAAGTCAGATTTCTTCTACGAACGTAAGAAGTCAATTTAGTGGTCAATGGTTAATTGAAAAAAATTTCAAAATCATCGACCTCATGAACACTTTTCAATGGAGATTGTGTTCTCTTGAGCGATTCGACACAATCTAATTCTAAAAATTAGCAAGATAATTTTTAAAAATATTATTAAATCAAGATCTTTCGCAAGATTTTAAGATCTTGGGTACAGAATACAGGCTCTTTTATGATAATCGGAATCAGATGAATTTATACCCAAGATCTTATTACACAGACCTTGGGTCAAGACAATCCGATTATCTTGTACCAAAATTTTCAAGATCTACTGACATTTCTGTACCTTATATCTTGCTTACAAGATATTTCAGTAGGGCAGTTTCTCATCATCTAATAATTCGTCTTCGAGCTGTTTCGTAAAAACATCGAATTTCTTGAACACTTCCTCAATATTATATACATCATTGAGGTCACTCGTAACTGTATCTGCTTTTAAGTCTAACATTCATTTTTGTGATAATTGTCGAAGGTTGCTGAGACAATAATTGGCATTGTTATCTCGTACATATTGCTTCAATTCTGCCCCTGCTAACTCTACTGGATTGAGCAAATAATGTTTGACGGGCAAGCTATAAATACGTGTTCCAAGATTGAAAGGAGATATAAGATTAACAACTTACCAGATATGGGTGTAGGTATGAGTTTTTCTTATTTTAACCTACATTCACACCCTAATTAGCACAATCTTTATATTCACAAAGAATAATTTCTTTACAATATGAACACTTTCATTCTATTCAAAATAGTCGAAAATCTAACTATTCATTAACAGACATAGAATTATTCAACCTTGAAAAACTTTAAAGTTCCGCAGCAGCTACGAAACCTCTTTAAGATCGGTGGGACGCAAAAAGGTTTCGTAGCAAAGATTGCGCGTGTGTGACCAGGTGAAGAACCCGTTTAGGTTTTGTAGCTCCTTCCGTACTTAAAAAAGTTCGATAGAGTACCGATTCTTCTTTAGAGAGTTGAGTATATATCTTTTGAATGATATAAAATAAAAACTTTCGGTTTGCGTAGAATCATAGATTTTAAGTAGACGAATCTAACTTACTCCTTATAATTAAAATTCTATATATTTTTCAAAGTACTATAATTACTTCTTTGAATTTCACTAATTACTCATCAGATTGATGAGCTAATTTTGTTAATTAGTATATAGAAAGAGGTAAAATGTCGGCTACTTTCTAATGGTGAAAACTGCAGACTGATAACTCTTTCCGTTAAAGAGTCATTCGAAAAACAACCACCCGCCTTTTATTTTTAAATGGATATTAGTTAATAAGTAATTGATTAATTAATTAAAAAGTAATTAGCGAATATCTCTCTAATCATCAGAGAAAAAACCCCACAAACTTCAGGATCGACGTCGTTGCATGACCTGCGTCTATGTTGAAATATTCAGTAAGAAACAACTCTAAAAACTTCCTCTTAAAAACCAATTTTCTAGATATCCTGAAGAAGAAATTGTACAGTTTGGAGTGAGTTTAGAACTTCTCATTCAGTTATAATTAGTCAAGTCGTTAACGAATGACTCGACTCATATACGTTCTACTTGTTGGCACAATTTAAACTGAAAAAACTTGCTTCATTAAATAATTTTCTACCTGATGGATTATTATTTTGTAATGATAAATTTTTATCATATTCTAATTGATTAAGATAACTAACAATTTGATGTATTATTTGTTCAAGAGTTAAATTCATATCCAATGGAATCCAATCTTGTAATTTATCATGAAATAATTCAATTTGATTTTGATAATATTGTTGCCATGCACGATTAGCTTCATCTAATTCAGTACATTGTGTTGTAAGAGTAGCAAGATTATTTTTTAATTGTTGAATTTCTTCATTTTCTTGTATCACATTTGAAGATTGAACATGTGGAATGATATTTAATGGAATCTAAAAAGAAACTAATGATATATGTAACATATAGAATAAATATCAAACTTCTTCAATTGGGGAATGATGAATATGTTGGATTTGATCAGTTGATAATTGTAAAACTATAAATGAATTTTTTCTTTTTGTTAGTTGAAATTGTATATTTTATAAAAAGTAATAAACTTACCATTTTCTTGTTGAGAATCAAGAGGAATAGATTGATTTTCTAATTGATTAGTTAAATTATGATTATCTTTAATAAGTAAATCATTTTTTTGTTGAATTTCATTATATTGTTTTGTAAGTTGTAAATTTTCTTGTGTAATTAATTGAAGATTATTTTTTAATGAATCAATTAAATATTGATTATCTTTTAATTGTTGTTCTAAACATTTAATTTCTTCTTGTAAACTTAAAATTTGATTATTTTGTTGTGTGTCAACAAGTGATTTATCCGAAAAATCAATATTATTTATTGTTGTAATTTCTAAAATATCAATTAATATATGTTTATAAATACCATTGAATGTATAAGATTGATTTAAAATCGAGAAACTCTACGATTTTTTTTTAATTCCACAGAGATTATGCTAATAACTCTTTTATTTAATATTTATTCCTTTGGATATATTGAAAATCATAATCTTTTGTTATTTTCTTAGAGTAATCAATTTGAATTTTACCTGATGGAATATTTGTTTTCGTATAATTTTGCTCGTCAAATTTTGTAGCAATAATTTGAATAATTTGATCAAAATTTAAATTCTTATCAAAATCAAAATAATCTTTAAATTTATTTTTTAATAAATCTATTTGATTATCATAAAATTGTTGCCATGCTTGATTTGCATTATCTAATTGTATATATTGATTTTCTAATAAAATATAATCTTGTTTAAGTTGATTATCTAAATACATCAAAAAAGAAAATTTAAAAAAAAAGAAATAATTAAATTTAATCAACAAACCATCTATTGAATATGTTGCTTTATTTAATAATGATTCTTTATTATGTTCTTTTAATAAAATATTTTCTTTTATTAAATTATTTATATATGGAATGATTTCTTCTAGAGAAACTTCATTTGAAAGTGATAATATATTTCGTAATTCTTTCCAAATATGATTCATCTCATTAACTACAGCGACAGGCTAAAACAAACAAAAAAAAAAACGAACTGAATAATGAACAAAAAAATAAAATGTAAATAATTTAATAAACCTTTTCAATTTGTTGTGTATCATGTTCTTGATTAATTATCAGAGATTGATTTTCAAGTTGATTAGTTAAAAATTGTTTTTCAATTTCAACTTGTTCATATTGTTCTTTCATTGCAAGTAATTCTTGATTAAGTTCATTAACAGTATTTATATAAGATTGA